ATGGATTTTTAATGTCATAATAATGTTTTAAAAGCTAAAAACCTACACATTATATTTAAAATAAAAATGAAACAATACGTGGGTCACATCATTCTTGCAATTCAAACCAGCCGGTATGATTGGCAAACGCACCGGTGCATGCACAGACTTCCGAGGCGTTAAATGTTTGCAGACCCTAGATTAGCCATTATTTCAGTGTTGGACCTCAATTTGGGTGTTACGCTAAAATAAATATTAGGGGCTTTGTCAACAACTGTTTCAGTTGCTTTGTAATGTGCAAAATTCCAAAACTCACTGCTTGAGAATAACATTATGTTGTGAATTTTGATCTGCTTACTTTTTAAATGTTTGCAGTTACTTCGAAAAATTGTGACAGCGTCTCTCTTTCAGAATGAACTCTAGTGATACAGGATACAATGTTGTGTCTGTCTCCCTCCTTTACTCATCAAAGCCTCCTGTGTCCATGTTATTCAGCAGCGGGAAGCAGATGTGTGTCTCCTCAGAGTCAGAGATGCAGATGTGTAGGAAGCACAGGAAGTACAGCGACATTCATCCTGCACCCCGTCCCAGAGAAAGACAGCTGTTCCTGTAGCTCTGGAGAGAGGAAGAGTAGCTAACCCAGTTTGAATTGACTTCTCAAAGAATCTAGTTAGTTTGATTCAGGTTTAACTGGGATTAGTTGAGAGAACTAGTTTAGAATGAGTCAAGTACATTTTTTTTATATTGAGCTTTTATGCAGGAGGAGCCTTATATAGATTAGCTCTAGTTGGAGCATGTTTAACCTATGGCGCATGTTTTAGACCGGAAAACCGGAGCACCCAGAGGAAAAACCCACACTAGCAATTCCGATTCACAAGGGGAGCTACATTCTACTCCACACAAAGAGGTGTGGAATCAAGCCAGGTAGTCCTCTATCACCTTGTGTCCCACTTACTTTTTGGAGATCCCCGAAAAGATGATCATGAGCCACAACCTCTGAAAACGAAAAAAAAAAAATCTTTCATGGAGTGTGTAACAGAGATCTAAGATTGAGAAACATGAGTTTTAAATGTGAAAGTGCTCTGTGTGAGTTCTAGTCTTCAGCTCGTCACCAAAAACTACACCCCTCCAACCACCAACACGTCATCCATTCATGTTATAAAACAAGCTCTTCCTACTCTCAGTGCCAAGCTACTGGTATAGTGTAGTTTCCACATGTGCATCACAATATGCCAAGACACATCATAATAATTATTTTTATCACGACGTGCTTCCACATATTTCACATTGTCATAATAGAATCCAATGGTGTGTGTGTGTGTGTGTGTGTGTGTGTGTGTGTGTGTGTGCGTGCGTGTGTGTCGATTTGATTATTAATAATTCACCTGCACTGACAGTAAAAAAAATCATTTTCCGGGATTCCTGCCACTATCTGCTGCTTTCTGACACTGGTTTCACTCGTTGCTTGAGCCCTGCCTGAGGCGCTTTGCCAAAACTATTCTTAATAAATCCCAGAATGTGTACCCACAGGCTCTAATCTGCCAAAGCTGGAAGCTAATTATCCTGATGTTGGGTTTTTAATGAATGCTAATCTGGTGGTTCCATACAGCGGAGACCAGTTTTCCAAACGGTGTTTGAGTTTGAAATGTGCTCAGACCACGTCTGTCAAGTCATGTGCTGGTCCGGACGGACTAGCACGGTAGAACAGGGCTAAATGTGTTTCTTTAGAACTATTCAGACAGGAATAGTTTCCCAGGGGGCCGTTCGAGAAATTTATGTTTCTCAGATGTTCTTTGTGTATTTAATCCCGTCTGAATCTGTGATGTCTGCTTTATTTCCCCCATGACCTCTGTAAATGTTCCAGAGCAAAAGTCCTATGCATGTCTGAGATTGCAGAAAATGTTTTACTGTAAAATGCATTTCTTGTGTGTTTGAATTTGCCGTACGAGAAGTTTTCTCTATTTCTTTCCTTTTTTTTGTAGCAAGTGCCTATTTTTAACAGATTTTTAATTGAAAGTACAGTGAAGAGACAGGAAGCAATGTAGGAGAGAGATTGGGAAGGGTTGGAAAAGACGACTTCAGGAATGTTACTTAAGTTCCTCTTTTGATTACTTTGTCAAGTAATTAGTTACGTTACTAGCTAGATCGCTAATTACCCCCCCCCCCCAAACACAAAACAATTATCATTAATAATAATAATAGCTTTGAGCTCAATCGGTGATTGTGGAAATGGCAGCATAAAAAGAATTTCATGAGGATACTATTATCTTTCTTTGCTTGACATCTTGATGCCACAGATACTTGTTTTGCCCTAAGAGCTACAAAAAAAAAAATAGGTGTTTGATAGAATTCACTTTATTTTGCTAATTTAAACATCAATACACGTCTTCAAAACTGGATGCTTTAAAAAAACAATATAAATAAATATAAACAATTTTAAAGAATATAATATATAAACAATATAAAAAAACTTTATATTCCAAGTACTGCAGAACTCTCAAGCTCTGTTGAAACCATTCATTCATTTATTCCCTTTCGGGGTCACGGGGGTCTCCCGGTGCCTATGTCCAGCGCACATTGAGGAGAGGTGGGGGTACACTCTGGACAGGTCTCCAGTCTATCGGAACATTCACATCTAAGGGGAATTTAGATTATTCAATTAACCTAACCGCATGTTTGTAAGGGAAACCAGAGTACCCGGAGGAACACCAGGGAAGCACCGGGAGAACATGCAAACTGACAACCTTCTAACTGAAAAACCGCAGTGCTGTCAAGGATGAAACCCTTCAACAATTTAAAAACAAATAATAAGCTACATCAGTTCCAGGTACGATTATTTTCATTTCAGTCATTACGTTAATTCGACAAACGTTAAAATATATGTAATGCACGTTTATGACCGAACAAAGTCTTATCACATGAGCTTGAACCAATCAGGAGACTGCAAGCCAAACTCAGACACTTGTATCTCAGTAAAAACGTGTTAGTCCATCTGAATCAGAACATGACACACACTGCCTGAGAACTCAAAAACTAGTCTCTTCCGAATCGGGCTTCAGAAGAGAGATCACTCAGATCTTTGTCCACTTGTAAACATATTTTCCGCTTGTGCTCGAAAACCTGCTTGTGATTTGTTTTTCGGTTCCAGGGTTTGAAGGTGTATTAGTTCCAGGCTGCCTCCGTAAAAAGGACCAGACTACACATGGAGAAGGAGGCTGTGATGGAAAATGCCTGGAGATGGACATTGATTGCTTGTGTGTTTAGAAGAAAAGATTCCCGAGGAGAAATGGCGGATATTTTCTGAATACAGCGCTCAGAGAAACGTCTCTATTGCTGTCTCCTCACCAGTCCGAACGTTTATGGTTTCGAGGTGCACTCTAAGTGTTTCTCTTTTATTTTTTTCCACCTCTCGCACTCTCTCCATTTCTGCCTCTTGGAAAACAATACTTTCCCCATGTGCTATTTTCAAGGCTTTGATTAATGGGTTTCAAAAGTGGACCCCAGGAGGGGAGTCTCTTAAAACTTTCATGGGTTGAGCGTTAAAGGCTTGCAACACAATGGGAAAGTATGGCGCACGTTTTGATTTAGAGCTGGGTTTAAAGAACCCCACCCCAGACCCCTGTGAAATATTTACAGCATAAAACAATATGTGGCGATTTCTGCTGAATGATATCTGCGATCGCTCAGCACTAATAGAGCGGTCTTAGCGGCAGGTCTGTTTCTCATTGGGCTCCAGACTTTCCCAGCTGGGAGTTTAGTGGTGAAATGAATGAAGCGCAAGGAAAGTTTAACAATCATCTTTCTTTCTGCGTTATTTCCTTTCATGTATGTTATAGAGCAGATCTAAAATCTCTGTTCCATGTTTCACAGAGCAAAGTGTAGGATAGTGTTACGCCCTCACCACAGAGATTCTGGACTGACACGAATCAACAACACTATTCTTCCGGAACAAACCACTTATTATTAGCTGAAAACAAATTTGATGGACATCTCAACACTGGTCTTGATCAAGGTGGTCTTTACTACAAGATTTGTGTCGGGGCAAGCAAAGACTCTGATTTATTTGAGGTAAAGGAACATAAATGAACAGAATTATAGTCGGGATGTTTTGGATTGGTTTTCATTTCTAAGAGGAAATTAAGGACATGATTACTTTTGAGAGAATATTATGTATTAGTGAGTGTGTGTTCTGTATGGATTGTTGTCAAAATGTGTATGTCTTTAAAATCTTTATTTTCTGTCAGATTTTATTGTAAATAAAGGATGTTGCTCTCAATGTCTCTCTGTTTCTTTCTCTCTCAATTTCTATCTCTTTATCAATCTCTCTCTCTTTCAATGTCTCTCTGTTTCTTTCTCTCTCAATTTCTATCTCTTTATCAATCTCTCTCTCTTTCTCAATGTCTCTCTGTTTCTTTTCTCTCTCAATTTCTATCTCTTTATCAATCTCTCTCTCTGTCTCAATGTCTCTCTGTTTCTTTCTCTCTCAATTTCTATCTCTTTATCAATCTCTCTCTCTTTCTCAATGTCTCTCTGTTTCTTTCTCTCTCAATTTCTATCGCTTTATCAATCTCTCTCTCTTTCTCAATGTCTCTCAATCGCACTGTACCTCAATGTGTCTCAGTGTCTATCGCTCAGTTTCGCGTACACTAGACATAACTGAAAAACAATCCAGTTTAACTTGTGGAATTTAATCGGACAGTTAATAACTGGTAAAAATCAGCTGTAACTTACCAAAACAGGAACAGTCTATTTTCAACAATGGTAACAAACTTTATTCTGAGGTGTAATGTTGGGAACTAAAGCTGCAACCTTTCTTACATGAATCACAGAACTGCAACCATTTCAGTGGAGAATGGCAGCTTCCGGCGGTAAGAGCAAAAGATAAGCCTGGTCCAGGGGGACTTTGTACTGCCGGTCTGAGTGAACCCAAGGAGGTGATCCAGCTGACAAAGCCTAATAGTCAAGTGGTCCAGTGTTCTGAACAAGTGAGTGGTTTTTGGTGTCAAAACTAAGTCTTTTAAAGGCCCCAGTGAGACATGAACTCACAACCCCTACTGGCGAAACCAGTGCTCTAACCACTGAGCTGTGCAGCATCCTTTTTGCTCTGCTTGTTGTGCCTTTTAACTTATAAAAAGTACACAATAAATCCAAGTGAAGAATGAGTCCAAAGATTCTTTGTTCAAGAAGAAAGAAAAACCCTGCATTTAAAAATGCACAAAAAATGTTGTTATGTTAAGTTTATTCTTCAAACAATGTATTTTAATACCTACAACATAGTATTGGTGCAAAGACTGAGATTTCAGGAAAGAAATAGTGCGCATCCTTCTGCGAAGATTCTTGCAAATCTCAATTTGGATCAATGTGTAGAGGTCTTATGTCATCATTCACACCACACTGATCGCTCTGAACCTAGTTGAGGAATACAGCCATGTGACATCATACGGTCACATCATCACTCATTGATCATATACATCATTGAATCTCGACGGAAGTACACAGAGAACCGAACGCTGGAATCCTGGAACAAATTGCTCAAAATGGACAGATTTCGATGCCTGATTTCGACCCTTGCGATCTGTAAAGAGTAGTTTGTTTGAATTGACCTAAATAAACTTCAGAAAGTGGCTTCTCTAGAGTTTGATGTATGTCTCTACACAGTAAAATCCTAAGAGTTAAATTAACTCTACTCGGAGTATATTTGGTCCCACTCTATATAAAGTTAAACCGACTCTGAGAAAGAGTAATTTAATAACCTGTTTTCTTCATGTTTTTCCAAATCTGCATGGAAAATGCAAACTAAATATTAACTATTCAAAGAGGGACCAAGTCCACTCCAGAAAGAGTAAAAATTGACAAAAATAGACTGTTTAGTTCAAATAGACTTATTTAAATAACTCTCCTTCAGAGTTGGTTTAACTCTATATAGAGTGGGACCAAATACACTCTGAGTAGAGTTCATTTAACTCTTAGGATTTTACTGTGTATGATTCACATGTGGAAACAGGGAGTAGGTTTATCTGGTTTATATTGGTCACCTGATGGACAGCAGAAAAACATTATGGCAGCCAAGCTCCACTGAGGTCAGCACAGACTATCCTGGAGCTTTGGGATGGGGTGCCACAGAGTTTTCCTAACCCGAAGCAGATCTTTGCCCGATGCGCTCTAATGGAGACCATCTTTTATTTGGTGGCGTTTGTGAGATGCCACATTCCCAGGAGGACTTGCTGCAGATGTTTGTTTGATCTGGCCTCAGACTGCTGGAAAGTCCAGGTTATTTTTAGAGACACAGTCGCCATTTAATTAAGGCAATTAGGGGAAGTAATGAGGAGTAGGGTGATTTACGGCTCTGATGGTGTGAGGAATGAGATGCTGAAAGAGAAAAAGTGCGAATGGCTTGGTGATTATTAGGAGGCATTATGAAGTAAACTAAACACAGCTTTAAAACAGATCCTGCCCCGTTAGATTTATTTCATCTGCCATGTGAATTACTTAAATTAGATTGGAAAAAGTTTAAATACTGCTTTCTATATGCACACTTCATTTTTTAATTTTTATTTTTTGTAGATTAGATGAAGTATTTTCTAACAAATATTAAGTCAAAAGAGATCTGGACTGTATGACTGTATTAAAAGCTTTTTTGCTGCTTATGTGTTGAGTGGACGGTTTATTTACACAATATCCATATTTTCAAAGCAATCGAGAAACAGCTCCGCAGGCTACTCAAGAACAAATGTGTAGCTTTAGAATAGAAATTGTGCAATTATTTTCTATACAAAATATATTTGATTAAACTGCAAACTGCAAATGAATGATGGAGAGATGCAAGGGTGACGGTGGCTCATAAGATGTTGCCGTGACAACCGGAGCCATGTTACGTCTTGGTTGAATTAAATGCTGCGGGGATTAAAATAGTATTATCTACACAGAATGGAACTCATTTCTTTTAAATGACTGGTTCCCCATGTAGCATGCATTTAATTTTTTGGGAGCAAAAATAATAAACCTTTGGCACCTTCTCTGATTTTCCAAGGAATATGTGAAAGTAGCTCTGAATTCAAACGGAAATCAACTCACAATTATGAAACTTATATTCTTTCATAAAATGTTTCTATTAGATGTTTTAAACAAAGCTCTTGTTAGTTGATCAAAGCTGATTATAGTTGATTCTTTTATCAACTCTATCATTCAGATATTATCATAACGTATCTATTGCACCACAGATTATTCAAACTTGAATATTTGTGTTTTGGACAAATAATTTCAGATATCGTGTTGGTTAGCCCATTGCCAACCCATCACGCCCCAGATCAGACAGAAAACGCATCGCATTGGGATTTTCGATAAATGTATTGCATTCATGTTCATGCACATTTTTTCTTAGCTGATAAAAAGTTTATCCTACTCAGTGTGCGCAGAATTTTTATGCAGATTTTCTAAATTTAAGCGCATCTTACTGTTTTTATCATTTCAAGTATATCATTTTCAATTGATTGTGTCATGAAAAGCTGAAATGCTGATTTTACGTCTTGAACATTACTGACCTGCATATCTGGTGGCCCTGGAGCCATTCTGATGACATTAGCGGCTAATGCACTAATGGCACTAAGTCTACCCTGCCATTCAAGTGGGGAGCGGGACCATAATAATCTGGTGGTTGAGAGACAACAGGTGGGCCAACACTAGAAGTCTCTCTCATCTGAGGAAGATGGGTCAGGGTCCTCCTCAAGATTATCCTCTGTCTCAGACACAAAACCTGCAAACAAAATCTCACTGACAAAAAGAGACATTTTAGCTTAGAGAAAACATAAAGACAGAGTCACAGAGCACAAAGAGAAATTGTTCTGTTCAAGCTTTTATATCTTTGAACCCCCACCCTCTAAACCATGTGATTTATCTTTTCCCCTCCCACAAAAAACTCAGGAAGTCCTCCTGAGAATAAAAATTCCCATGTCATCTTAACTCTCAGTGGTTCTCACGGTATTACTGGTTTAGGAAAACTGATGTGACAAAATTTGTACATGTTCATTTTATGTTTACCAAGTTCTCTGCATCAAATTCAACCTGAAACAAAAAGAAATGCGTACATGTACATACAGTATATGTGACATTGGAGATATGGGTATGCTCATAGCTATGCTAAACGAGGGGATTTTCCGGGGGATTTAAAGAATGAGCCTTTTCCCTAAAAGGCAAAGCGTTCCTTTAAACAATGTAGATTCTTGTTCATAACATTTTCAAATCACTCATAAAAAGCTTGCTGGTGAAGTTTTCCACTTGGCTGATGGTTATTTGAAATAGTTAGCTAAAAATAACAGCTTAACCCGTGTCCATAAGTGGTTCCAAACCATTTAGTGAATGGACATAAATCATTTTTGCAGTTTTATTGTGGTTTTTCTGCACTGGAAACTTGAAGAGAGCTCTCTTGGCTTGAGAGTTCACTTTTTCTGCTTTTTAAAGGTGTCTTGTATTGTTTAACCGGAGTTGTATGTGAGTAAATGGATCTTTCAGTTCAACAGAAAGTGAACAGTCGAGGTGACAGAATGTTCACCAGCGCTGCAGGAAAACTAAAACAAACCCCCAGAATGAGTTATTTCTGGCTTTTTGTGTAAACTCGCAGTAAAAACAGTTGTGATGTGACGGATGTGTTGTATAAAAGCGCTTTGTGTTCAGCAGACATAAGATATAGGTGAGGGGTGGCGACTGCTATCATGCTCATTAATCCTAACACCGCCTCCGCTCGGTTTGTCCCCACAGCTCCACCTCTCTGTTACCGGAGACTTTGATGTATTTGCATGTATTAATTTATTCCCTATGTTCCTGCCGCTCCTACATAATGGGGTCCTGTTCTCATTAAATGGGCCTTACAAAATTCATAAGGTAATTACTGTGAGTGATTGGATTAGGGTAAAGCACAAATGTGACTTTGTACTTGCAGAAAGCTATTTCTAGGGAAAGCTGTCTGGCGTTTTTTCAGCTCAGATTTATATGGGATGAATTTGCATGAAATAATCAGGCGTCAGCTATAAAACAGTTCAATTTATTTAATGGAGATAAATTGACTTCTCTATTCACAGGTTTTGGGTTAAAGTTGACGAGAAAGATTTATTTTGTTTGCTCAACTCGTTTGATTCTATTGACAAAGAATAAACTGTTTAACCTCTCCCACTCTACACTGTGAAAAAGCAAGAAGGGGTTTTGCGACTGGTACAATAAGATAAAGATGTGTCTGTTTGATGAGGTCTGAATCATAAATATTGTCTCCATCCCAATTCCTTTGCTTCACTCTGTTTAATTGTTTATCTTTTTTTTTAATCCAAACTTTATATTAAAACTTCGGAAAACATGTTTTTTCATACGTGATTTCTCTAAAATGAAATGAAATTTAAATAAAGGTAACAAATAACCAAAGATTCGTTCTAGGTGTTGATGGCCTAAATGTTAAAGGAGATATCCGATGCTAGTTAATCAATTTATAGAACTTACATTTTTAATTTCTGTAATATATACATTTTATAAACTTTACAGTTCTGATCAAATAAGTCTTTCTCAGTTTGAACTTTTAAATGAGCTTTCCGTCACACAGCGCTTGGGAGTCAAAGTGACTCTACTTGGCACCCAAAAATGCACAACAACCATACTTGACCAGCATTAAAAATAAATATGAGCCACATTTTCTGTTTAAGTGCAATATTCATCTAAGGTGTCACATAAGGAATCTGTATTTTTGGCAGCATTATCTTCAGTTGAAATTTATCTTTGCTCTTGGAACATCTGATCATTGCAATTTGAGCTTCACATCTCTCTGTCTCGGCCCAAAAGCAGATAATTTTTGAGTGCTTGGGAGTAGTGTAATAGAGAAAATAATCTTTTGTCTAGTTTATTTCTGAGTTCGAACAGGAAGTTACATCACAAACAGGAAGTTATATCATGAACAGGAATGCACAAGCTCTTTAAGGCCCCATCCAAACATTCCCGGTTAAATGCCCGATTACGCTGTGCAGCCGCACATAATCACAGAAGCATGTTCACACAACCGCACATTTTTTTAAAACGATGGCCAAGGTGAATCATATTTGAAACGCTCCGGAGCCGG